TTCAGTTGTTTATACGCTGCACAATAGCTTTCCTTTTTAGCTGACTACTCCAGACCTCGCTGTGAACTATGTTAACACTGTCCTTTCTCAGTCGTGTCTGCTGACGGTGGGCCATATAGAAGACAGCTTCAGTCACCTCTCTTGTTACTCTCAGGTAGCCAACCCCGTAGGTGACGGTAAAAGGAGGACATTGCTGGCTAAGACAGGTTGTTTTTCTTGTCTGCCATCATCTCATTACACAGGCCGGGGCACAGTGGCTGTAATACCGTTACGTTGTGTTTCGTGCGACCAGGGACACTGGCTTGTTTTACAGGCGTAGCAGGTATTTTGGGCCACCATAATGCATACTTGGCATGTTTTCGTCAAGCAAAGGAGTTTTAATGGTGAATAATAAACTTAACATCGACGAATTTAATTTTTTCGTATTTTCTTTCTGTTTATTTCATGGTAATTTCTTAGTATTAGTCCTTGTTTCAGCTTCACTGCAACTGGGTTACCCCATATTGCTCATACAGTAGTCGTCATATGAGATGCAATTTTTCGTTATGGGAAGCCCCACCCTGGAGCCCTGAATATAGCCGGGCCATAGATATGGCCTAACGGCTGAAAGGGGATTCTGGGACCTCTCCACGGGTGATCCTCATGGTGGCACTCTGTGACTGGGTGTATATCGTTTGTGTGATGTCCTGGTGGGGTACCACTTACATGCACATATACCCCATACTTGCTCCGGGACTGGGTACAGAAAAGGGGGTAGCTGCTAAACATAAAAGTGGCACAGGTGAAAGCGTACATGAGGACACCAGCAGACGACATCCTCCCACTGCACAACGCTATCAGTCATACAAAAGGGATGCGTCTCAAAAGAAGCTCCTCCTGGATGGCAGTGGTAGAAAATCTAATCAAGCAAGCATGTGACTTAGACGAGATCAGTCACGGAAAATAATCGAAGAATACACCAGTAGACATGCATGACTTGTCTAAGGTTGTCAGCATACTGGGAAGGTACTGCAGGAGTCAGATACCCACCACCATAAACGCCAAGATTAGGGCACTGATTGATCAGCATCCACGTCGACAAAAACGGGGCATAGACAGCACAAAAGGATGTGGAAAACAACAGAAAAGGATAGCGGGGCTTACCAGACAACTACGTCAAGCATTACCATGGAAATAACTGCTGCTCCCATGCACTCGCGTGGGTAGCAGAACAAGCGGTCGCACGTGTGGTAATCGTTTCAGATTCTATAAACATGTTTCAGAAAATCGCTACAGGTATTCTACGCTCCGAACGGGTAGAAAGCATTCGGAAGTCGCAGTTAACCTCCATCGTCTGGAACTACACACATAGGTACGCAGGAGTACCTGGTAATGAAAGAGCTGATCAGCTAGCAAGTAAGTCGGAGTTCATCTGCCTGAGGTTAAGGTAACAAATAGTCTGCACACCGATAAGCCGGATCTGTAAAAATAGATGTGCACGCAAAATGCAAGTTCTGGAACAAGTCTGCAGTCCAGAAGGTGACAAACAACCAGAACTTTCTGCCTGAGTTTACAGCCCGTGAACGCTAGGAATGTTGAATGTTGTTAAATGTTTAATTAGGCATCGACATCACAGAACTCGGGACACTCCCATAAGGGCTAAGTCCCCATCTTCAGCAGCAAGCGAAGCGCTCCAGTTCCGATAGTACCAGTAACCGTCTGATTGTATATCCGTCTCATCCTTCCCCTGAGTGTTGAGCGTTGACCAGATCCCCTGGTAACTCATCGCAGCGCCATTCTCCTTAGACTGTAGTGGTCTATCTGCGCCTCTGCACTGTTCACTCGCTCCTGAATGACCCTCACAATGTCTAACTTGTCATAAATTAATTCACCACCAAGTGGTGCAGAGCCAGCCAGTCTATCTGCCTGCTCATTTCCCAACACACCGGCATGACATGGAAAAAATATCCAACGGATGCTAACTACCCGGGACCTCTGAAGTGATGCTTGCCACTCTGCACAAGTAGTAGTATTAGTAGTAGCAGCAGCAGTAGAAGCAGCAGAAGTAGTAGTAGTAGTAGTAGAAGTAGTAGTAGTAGTAGTAGTGGTAGCAGTAGCAGCAGCAGCAGTAGTAGTAGTAGTAGTAGTAGTAGTAGTAGCAGCAGCAGCAGCAGCAGCAGAAGTAGTAGTAGTAGTAGTAGCAGCAGCGGTAGTAGTAGTAGTAGTAGTAGTAGTAGTAGTAGTAGTAGTAGTAGTAGTAGTAGTAGTAGTAGTAGTAGTAAAAGTAGTAGTAGTAGTAGTAGTAGTAGTAGTAGTAGTAGTAGTAGTAGTAGTAGTAGTAGTAGTAGTAGTAGTAGTAGTAGTAGTAGTAGTAGTAGTAGTAGAAGAAGAAGAAGAAGAAAAGTCTCCGCACGATAGGATACCTCATTTTAACAGGCAACCTATAAACTGTGAAAGATGCGTCAGCCCAAACCCTCCTCATCAGGTATTCAGTGCACAATTAAGGACGTTATAGTCTGGGCATATCAGCACCTGTCTTATGTTTGATAAACGAGCAACTTCTAACATCGTGACCGCCAAGGCTGTATCCTACGTATAGTTCCAGGTTAGCCACCTTTGCGCAGTAAGCAGGGCCGCCAATGAAAAAAACCTAGCTAAGCTGAACAAAAACTAAAAAACTCAAGCTAATACACAGGCTAAAAACCCAGATTATTAAAAAGTACAAATGTTATAGTTACGAAACGAAACATTTACCAACTTGTATATAAGGATATATTTTTAAAAAAACCAGATTTCAAAATTTTCGAACCCAAAGGCGCCAAATAAAAACCCAGATCTGGGGATAAAAACCCATCATTGGCAGCCCTGTCAGTAAGATGTTGAGCGATGTGATGTCGGGGGTAAAGTCATTTTCTAACATACACAGTTCGTGGCAAGGGAGCCGCCGTGATGTAGCGGCTTGACCCTCAGCTGCGGATCGGAAGATTGTGAGTTCAGGTCCTGGCGGAGCCGGACTTAAAAAAAAAAAGACCTTGACCAAGTGCGGAATGGTCTATAACATATAGTTCTAGCCCTATATACCCAGTATACGCCTGAAGGTGTTAAAAAAAGGTCCTTTACTTTCACAGTTCGTGTCACAAACACTAGCCATGTTGTCCGAAATGCTGACACCAAAGACATTCGCCCACCCGCCGCCTTGAAAAGCTGTAAACGACATTACCTAGCTGTTTGGTTGCTGGACATTTGGTGGCGACATTTCTACCCGAGATGGCTGTAACACAGGCAAATCGCCCCCTCCCCATAATTTTCTGGGGCCAGGGGAGGGTTTCAAGCCTTGTTTAATTGTGCGACAATAATAAGTAATAACAATAACAATTAAAAATAACATAAAAACAATTGTAAATAAATAACAATTATTGCTATTGTTACACATTAAAGAAGGTTTGAGCACCAACGTGATTATAAAATTGGGGTGAATGAAGGGCTGAACGGGCTTAAGCCTTATTTGATTGGGCAGTAATAATAATAATAATTATTATTTGCTAAATGGGGGAGGGGGGGGGCGGGAAGCCTGGGCACAAGCCACCACCAAGTTCAGATAGCTGTGCTCTTACAGAAGGGCCACAAATGTTACCTAATGTGTCTTCTCAATGTTCTAGAGTGGTTCAGAATCCTCTCGGAGTCGTAAGCCAAACTTTGAACTCTAATCGTCTGCTCAGTTCTGCGAAAATGGAATCTCTTTGGAAATCGAAGGAAGCTTCTGAAGCTCACAGAAAGCTGTTGGTCCAGTTAATTTTATGTTTGTAGAATAGCTAGCTGCCTGCCGAAAGCATCACACAAAGGATGTACTCCATATCTCGAATGATGATCCCCAGGGATATCCAGAAAATTTGCACTCCTGAACCAAATGATGCAGCCATGCAAAAAACCCACAACTTTAGGGCATGCACCAAAGGGCTTGTCCAGGAGACCTTCAGAAGAAAGTTTCTCAGCATATTCCTAAAGCGGCAAACAGCCACTATGAAAATTCATGAATGTATTATTTCATACATACTACCAGTTAGCCAGATTTCGTTAGTTCCTTCCAACCAAATGTAAAATCTAAAAGAACATATTGTGCAAACGTGGGATTTTACAGTCAAAGCCCATCACACATCATATTTTACTTGGGACTGAAAGATTTAAGTTTGTTGTAAAGACAAGACCACAAAAAAGCTTCTGACTTTGGAAAGTGTCTCCCCTTCCGTGTACATTTTGGCCACTTCATCATCAAAACAATCTGACATGCCCCACTTGAGTCATGACACATTAATGTTTCTGCCTTTCTATGGCAAAACTTTTACTTTTCCAGAGGGCACGTTTACGCTACAATATCAGCAGCTTTGTTTTTTCTACAAGCATTAATTGTGAAGTCTCTTTATAATGCTTAAACATTCTTTTACTCATTGCACAGTTGGCATATGCAAACAGTATATTACTCAAAAGTGTGGCGATAAAGTGAAACGAGCAACATAAAGTGAAGGAACAGCAAAGTCAAGTGAACATTGTGAAGACAAATCAACAGTATAATATAAAATGAATAACTTAAAGTGATGTGAAAAGAATAAAGTGAAAGGTAGCATAAAGTGAGGTGGTTAGCATAAAGCAACATGAGGAACACATATGAATGGAGCCACATAAAATGCAGTGAACAAATACAGCGAAGTGATGAACATATTCACAGTGAGCAAATACATCAAAATGAATAACATAGATCACACTTAACAAATGCAGCAACATGAACACAACATAATTCACAAAGAACAAATATATTTAAGTGAACAACTCAATTCACAGTGAATAAATACAGCAAAGAGAACAACATAATTCACAGAGAATAAATACATCCAAATGAACAACATAATTCACATTGAGTATATACATTAAAGTGAACAACAAAATTCACAGTGAACAAATACACAGAAGTGAACAGTGTAATGTCTCAGATACACAGGGTGTACTGAGTCTGTTTCAGAATATTTTCATTTCTTTTTGTTCTTGTTTGATCTGTCTGTCAGGAATGCATTCTCTGCCTCAGACATGCCAAGCATCTTGCGCAGCCTTAGAATCTCTTGCTTGTATCTGAAATAATTTCAAACAAAATAGATTGACCAGTTTGCAGATACAGTTTATTGTACACTAAATAAAATATTTGCCATTTCTGAAGATACTGCAGCTGAGCTGTAAACCACAAAACAGTATGCTTTACAAGATTGGGTAGCTGCAGATATGGCCATATATAGGCATGTACGGGACTGTGTCACAACCAGAATGACTAGATTCTGTCTTCTTAGGGCAACAGTGTGAACATAATTGAGAACCTGCACTCCATAGCTCATTCAAGAGCAAGCAACTCCCCTTGCATTTACTGGTTAATCTTTACAAGATACACATTTCTCAACTCAGAATTTCTTTTCCATCTGGTAAATTAACCCATTCTCTGATATTTGTTGCTTGTTTGTTTGTTTGTTTTAGTATCCAGAAGCCTTGAGTTGTTAACCCTTAGGCTCGGTATTATGGATATCGCAACCTTTCGGCCTTGATTCCATTGTAAATACTGTAAATCTGGGAGAAATGTGGCTTTCCTGCCTACCCTCGGGATTGAACCCGGACCACAAGGAGTTCGTCACCCGGTCTCCACGCAATCCGGTTTAGCCAACTACGCTAGAGAGCCGAGCTCTCATATTTGTTACTATAATTCATTTTATCATACAGTGCTATTATTTTCAACCATTCAGGCTCAAGTGTGTCTTATGTTAGATTATAAATGTTCAGTCTTATTTTAGATAATAAATATTTAGGATATAGCAAGGTATAATGTTTGCCTAAGAGGAACTGAAGGAGTTAAAATATTGCTACTTTTTTTAACTTACTAGAGATAACAAATGTTTACTAGAGATAACAAATGTTTAGGATATAATGTTAGAATTATCGCTGGATATGGACTTGAAGAGTTAAAAGATTACTACTTTATTTATCTTACTTTAGATAACAAATGTTTAGGATACAATGAGATAAAATATTCCCTGAGAGGGACTGAAAAAGTTAAAAGTTTGCACTGAAAACAATGAATACCTGATGAGGTGACTGTCTATATAATGTTGGCTTTCCTTCAACTGTTGTTGCAGAACCTGGTTCTCACTCAGCAACCGTGCCCGCTCCTGCTCCAGCTGTTGTTGAGTGTTGAGTGTGAACTCCCGAAGTTGTTTCCTCATGGCTGACCACAGGTCAGACTTGGCCGAACTTGAACTGGACAGATCACCACAAAGTATATCATAAAAATCGAGGACTTTGGAGCTGAAAATAATTTGTGCTATATAAAACAACAAAATAATCCCTCCCACCCGTTCGAGGCCGCCCCGGCAAACTTTACTAGTCCTTCTTAGGACTAGTAAACTTCCACTCCCAATCACGACCAACATCGCAGAAACAAGCAAGGAAACCACTTCTAGACGTAGTTCGTCGCAATTGAAAAAAAAACTGTTGGAAACCCCAAACAAATAAACGCAGTCCCAAAAAAACTGCCGCTCACTATTGGAGCTGGTTAGGGTGACTAGAACTTTTTTTTTTTTTTTTTTAACAAACTGGAACTAGAACTTTGGATCAAATAGAGCCTGAACTTTATTTTCAAAGGATCACAAATTGGCCACACTAGCATGATTTACATTGGTTATTCCAGTCACTTATCTTTAACAAATTAAGGACATCTAGGCTGAATTTATGTGGGATAAAACACAACAAAATATGCTACACAAGCAGTGACGTTTGAGTCTTCACCTCCTCCTTTTTTGTGTGGTTCTTTTCCTTTCTCTCTTCTTCCACTGATGATTTTCATTACTCAATGATATTGCTCATATTAATTAATATTTATACCTTTAACAAAATGAATCTTCAACTTCTTATTCTGAATGTTCCCCAGCTGTAAACTCTAGCAGAAAGTCCTGGTTGTTTGTACACTTCTGAACTTTGATCGTATTCCATGACTTGAGTATTATGTGCACATCTGTTTTACAGATCTGGCACTTGAATGCAGACAGTTGGTTCCTTGTCTCTCAAGCAGATGCAGTTGGACTTTGAAGGAAGGTCAGCCCTATCTATGTTGGCCAGGTCCCTAACAGGTGACCTGTTTTTATGATCATTGTGAAGAGGCTTAGGTAGGTTCTGTCCTGGAGCATCACAATGCGTGGTTCACTACCCCTGCATCTCAAACTCTGGTAATGAAATCATTAATTCCATAAATTCTTACTTTATTTCACCAAAGCCATCTTTCTTGTCATCACCAAACAGACCATACTAGATTTGAAAAGAAAAATCAACTTGTCTTTAGAATTCTGTTAAACTTTGAATTAAAACTAAGTTTCAGTTAAAAAAGCACAATTAAAGCAAACATACACTAATGGTGCATGCATTCTTATAGCTTTGTGTTTCTTTTACATACAAACTTCACATTTTGGCTTTAAGGCCTCAATATTAGGGGTGTGGGGGGGGGGGGGAGGGTGGAGAAGACTCACTGTCCCCTAACATATTGTAAAAGGTGAGGGGTTTGCTAAAATTGGATGTGCTGGGCTGAAACGGGTGGATACCACAGCCTACCTGTAAACTACAACAACAAAAAACTTGTCACACCCCCCCCCCCCCAACCCCCTTTACGCCCCCGTTTTTAATTTTCAGGGTGAATGAAGAAAAACAAGAATACTTACACATGTGGTACTGGTGATTTGACGTCCAAGCACTTTACCAAGACCCTTCTCGTGAAACATTTGTTTCCCACTAAACACCAACATTACAGCACTCAGGGCATGCCAGTGTGTGTTCTGTCTCTCCCACATGATGCCACAGAGTCTGGATCCTTACAGTGTCAGACGCTACTTAGTTTGAGATTATCTACTTAGTTCATATAATTATATAATGCTTTATTTATAAATAAAGTACAACTGTTATTAAACATGGGTAGAATATGTTGAGGTCAACCACTACTAAGATATAAAGATATCTTCGAGTGGGACATGAATGATACAAGTATAGAGGTGGACTTATGGGAACAAACTGCCAAGGAGTGTAGGGGTTTTATCAGGAAAGAAGTGAGAATTAAGGAAGAAATTATGGCAGAAAGGACAAAAGCTGAGAGTCTGAAAAGAAACACACTAAACATAAATGTTGTCAAGAAATCCTATGCTATAATTTTGGAAGACTTTTACTAAGGCAGGCGAGTCTTGTTAGTCACACTTGCCATCGCCATGGGCTGTGAGTTCCCTGCCTCTTTTTAGATGGAAAGGTGCCAATCAGCCAACAACTGCCATGTGAAAGAAGACAGCTTAGAAGGGCTGAATGTCAAACAGGCAGGAATGCTCAGTTTGTGACTGTTAAAAAAATACTTGGACCTTTTCTGCTAATGCTAAGCTGGATACATGATTCTATGATTCTGTGATCAAAGCGAACAGAACCCCCAAAAAAAGTCACATGAAGTGAAATGCAGACAGTACTTAAAAGTCAGTGGGTAAAAATGAAGATCAATTTTCCCCAAGTCTTGATGCATAATGGTTGTATGGTACCTGTCTACCTTGTTTTATAGATCATTCAGCATTCAGGGGGTAATGTAATAAATATAATTCTGGCTGCCTTACTTTCTCAAAAGAATCCATGAAACTTCTTCTTCTTTGTTGAAAAGCTGCAATCTCTGTTGGAAAGTCCAGGTTGTTCATTAATTTGTAGTTTGGCTGAGTTTTGCATGTAGATCCGTTTTACTGGCTTTCTTGTGTGCAGCTGGTTGTTCCTTGGCACATGGGAACATGCATTCCAAGCTCAAAGGAAGTCCGCAAATATTCTTGTTTTCCCCACAATGTGACCCCGGAACCCAAACATGGTTCCTTGAAACTAGTTTTAGGTTCAATCAAAACAGAAGTTAGGTGAATGTTAAATAATAATCTCTGCCTCAGTGAGGATTTGAACACTAGACTATTGAGAAAGTAGGCCTATTTATTGCTAGCCATGGTGATACCATGACTCACTGAACTTGTTCAGTAGCAATCAAGTCACCACGAAAGTCACCACACAAGTCACCACACAAGTCACCACACAAGTCACCACACAAGTCACCACAGAAGACACCACACAAGTCACCACACAAGTCACCATAGAAGACACCACAAAAGTCACCACACAAGTCACCACGAAAGTCACCACACAAGTCACCACACAAGTCACCACAGAAGACACCACACAAGTCACCACACAAGTCACCACAGAAGACACCACACAAGTCACCACACAAGTCACCACAGAAGACACCACACAAGTCACCACACAAGTCACCACAGAAGACACCACACAAGTCACCACAGAAGACACCACACAAGTCACCACACAAGTCACCACAGAAGACACCACACAAGTCACCACACAAGTCACCACAGAAGACACCACACAAGTCACCACAGAAGACACCACATAAGTCACCACACAAGTCACCACAGAAGTCACCACACAAGTCCCCACACATTTACCGATTGTAATAGTGATAAAATATTTGTGTATATTTCAGTACTTTCCACATATGCTGTATGAGATGCATTCTTGGTATATCATGGCCAGACTTTGTACCCAATGAATGTATACTCAAAAGAGCAGGAATGCCAGCAAGATACTTTCTACTAAAGAAAAAACGCCTGTGTTGGTTGGGACATGTCTCTCGCATGGAGGACAGTCGCATTCCAAAAGAACGCCTGAATGGCGAAGTGCTAACAGGGATAAGGCCTGCGAGAAGGCTAAAACTATGCTGTAAAGACATTTACAAACATGACCCGAAACACTGACACAGACATCTGGCAGAGATTAGCTGCAGACCGACTCCTTCAGATGCAGACAGTGAAAGACAGACTGTTGCAGTTTGAAAGAGATCAAACACAGTGAGGAAATGTCTGAGAGAATAGAGAGGAAATGTCTGAGAGAATAGAGAGGAAATGTCTGAGAGAATAGAGAGGAAATGTCTGAGAGAATAGAGAGGAAATGTCTGAGAGAATAGAGAGGAAATGTCTGAGAGAATAGAGAGGAAATGTCTGAGAGAATAGAGAGGAAATGTCTGAGAGAATAGAGAGGAAATGTCTAAGAGAATAGAGAGGAAACTGAGAGAAAACCAGCCAAAGAACAATAGACTATCAGCGTTTTTATGTGGAGTATGTGGCAGAGACTGCCACTCCTGCACTGAACTTGACAACGTAGCAGACGCTGCTTCCAAAAGTAGCAGCACAACTACATGGTCCTACAGGGACTAATGGTTGCCTGTAAATCTGAAGGAAAATAAAGGCAGTGCCAGCTCTGGATTTTATTATTTAACAACAAGTGAAATGGTTTGGTCTTATAATGTGGATGCCAACAAACAGTACACCACAGTAAGCAAGATGTATAGACCAGGGAGAAGTGAAGAAGAGGCCAACCATTGAAATTATGGACAGAGGGAGTAACAGAGTCTGTGATGAGGTGCTTTGAATGGTCTCGACGCGTACAGTGTGTCAAGCGACCGCACGAGATACTTGGGGCTGGTCGAGTGAGCGAGGGGAAGCCTGAGCTGGACTCGTGGTCAGTTGGTTACCAGAAGTCGTAGAAGACAGTTGTGTTAATACATGATGTAGTTTTAATGTCTTGGGAATGATTCATGGATGTCGGAATAATCATTGTAACAGTGTGGAAGAATGTGATCGAATAAACTGACAGAAATGTATAAAAGAACTAAGAGCTTTTTGTGTTATCAATCCTGGACATTAGAGCAGTACAAGTTGCTATCTTGCAGTATTCATATAAAGCCAAATCATGGCGAAAGCAGATACGTTGCAACCCAGATTCATTGCAGAGTCCCTGGGAATCTCCATTTGCAAAGCACACAGAATGGCACATTCTCATAAATTATATATACTTCACCTATACACCACTAGGTATAAGAGAATCAAGATGAGATAAGATGATGAGTTACTTTCTTACCCGTAGTTTCATAGCATCCATCTCACTCCTTAGTTTTGCCAGCTCACTTTTGGTCTTGTCAAGCTCTTTCAGATGAGAGGACTGGATTTCTGTGTCTCCAAGTTTCAGTTCTGTTTCGTCTGGTCCAAGGTCAGCTCTGTCAAATCCTCGGGCCTCACAAGTCTGCCTTAAGTTCCTGTTTTAACATAAAAATCACAGATACACATTCCATTTCTCCCCAGGCACACAATCAGTTTCTAAGCAGATATTACAACTTGATGTGTATACATCTGACAGAAACATCTCCAACAGTTCACATATAACCATCATAATCTTTATACACTCTTCTGACTTTTCTTTTTTCTTCTGTGTCCTTCTTCTATTTCTTATTTTTCTTCTAATGCTGCTGCTGCCTCTTCTTCTTTTTCTACTTTCTACCTCTTCTCCTTCACCTTTTTCTCAGATGTCAACTTTTTTTTTTTTTTTGGGTATACGAAGATGTCATCTTTAAATCTCCAAGTTTCCATGTCATTTGACTTGTGGTCACTTGACAAATAACTGCAAAACAGAAGTGATCAACAACACCTGGTGATGCCTCCAAACCATGTCTCATACCAGTCAAGACTGGTCTACACCTGTCTGCCATCATCCTAAAGACAGGTCCCCAACCAGGGGGCCTGACCAACACAGACAGGGAGATGTTTGTTTCAAAGTCCGGGTACACCTGCCTGAGAGGCCAGAAACAAACAGTCTTCATACAAATAAGCCAGATTTGTAAAATAGATGTACATGCAAAACTCAAGTCTTGGTACAAGACCAGAGACACCAGAAGTGGACAAACAACCAAGACTTTTCACCAGAGTTGACACCTGGTAAACATAAGGAAGCAGAAAAAGAAGTCACACTGATTATTTATAAGTATAACAGATCCATTGTAACTTCTAGATCATTTACAAATTGTTGCAGAACCAACCCCAACATTTTTTGGTTGTTGTAGTTTTTCTAGGGAAATGTTATGTTCAGTAGTTTGCCATACATAACCAGTAGTTTGCCACCGCTTTCTGAATAGTCAGCTCTCAGTAGCAGTGTTGAAACCAATGCAGGACAAGTCTGCAGCTGGGATCGAACCTGGCACCCGGGCATTACAAAGCTGATGCTGATCTGTAGTATGTGATATACTGTTTTTTCATTTATGAAACAGAGACAGTTTGATGGTACCAATGGCAATCAGATCAACTGTTGAAGCCCAGAAGTGGACAAACAACCAGGACTTTCCACTAGAGTGTACAGCTGGTGAACGCTAAGAAGATGAAGACTTGTTTATATATAATTGCTCATGAATACAGGCAACATGATTTAATAATGAAAATGCTCAGTGGGAGAAGAAGAAAAGAAAGAAGTAAAAGACAAAAGGTGGAGGATGCTCAAATGTCCCGACTTGTGTCATGTATTCTGTTGTGTTTTATCCAGGACAAATTCCTGCACATGTAGACTCCATGAAAGTGGTTCAGAAGATGGCAGCATGTGGTATGCACCCTGAATGTGTAGAAAGCATTCAAAAATTGCACTTATCCTCTGTGACCTCTATCTACACACATGGTCATGTTGGTTTAAAGGGTAATGAGCGAGCGGACCAAGTGACAAGAAATGAACAAACGAACGTGGGAAGAAAGCATGGACAGAGCAGATATCGTCAACAATGTACGGACTAGGCTAGTGAATAATTATAAATCTCTGACCACTAACACGGTTGCGTGACATGGGAGTACAGCATGGTGAAGCACGTCTATACCGCCTTAAAGGCCAAGATAAGAGACATGATAACCAACCTCTCATGGGAACACTTAGTAGAAGTAACTTGAAATGGTTGCTGCACTGGAGGATGGAGTGTACAGTGATGTCATTTGTGATAACATTATATAGTATCATGACAGATAAAAGTCATAAACTTATTAGAGCTTTTAGACATAGTCAGTTATGGATTTTGTGGACATGTTATTAGAAGGAAAGGTCCTGAGAACTTGGTGTTAACTGGCAAGACTGATGGAAAGAAAGCAAAGAGTAAAACAAAGAGATAAATACCTGTGTATAATCAACCAATCATGTCTATAATCCATTATGGTCTCATTATAATCTCACTATTAGACTCACAGTATGAATTTTAACCTGGCAGACAAAACTTGGCCACTAACAGGCAGTTTGGATGTTTTATATAGATTTACTGTGTTTTAAATTACATAAACATTACAGGATACAACTATTGTATAACCACCACAGACATTAATAAAGAAAATGTAATAAACAGTAAGAAAAAAGTACACAGCAAACAGTAGACAATAAACAGTAGGCAATAAAAGTAGACAATAAAAGTAGACAATAAACAGTAGACAATAAAAGTAGACAATACAAGTAGACAATAAATGGTTGGCAATAAAAAGTAGACAACAAACAGTATGCAAATAAAAAAAACAGTGGACAACAAACAGTAGAAAACAACAAACAGTAGACAACAATAGCAAACAATAAATAGCAGACAACAAACAGTAGAAAACAACAAACAGTAGACAACAAACAATGAGAGGCAAACAGCAGACAACAAGCAGTAGTTAATAAACAGTAAGAAGCAAACTGTAGATAACAAACAGCAGACAAAAAACAAACAGTAAGAAACAAACAGCAGATAACAAAAAACACACAGTAGACACTAAAGAGAAGATCAACAACAACAACAACCACCACCAACAAGACTGAGCCAGTTTCAGCTGACCTGTATGCAACTAAGACTTGTTCATAACTGTGGATTGCATTCTGCAGCCGTTTCTTGAAAGTCTGGGCGGCCTGGCTGAGCTGATCCTCTCGCTCTCGATGTGACTTCCTGATGTCCTTCAGCATGTTATCACAGTATTCCCGCATTTTCTTGTCCTGCTGCTGTCCTGGCACACCACTGCCTTTGTCTACATATTCCTGTGGGCCAGATAAACATACAATTTCAAGCTAAAGTGATATGTTGAAAACAAAAAAGTGAAGGACCTATATAATTTCAAGCTAAAGTGATATGTTGAAAACAAACAAGTGAAGGACCCATATAATTTCAAGCTAAAGTGATATGTTGAAAACAAAATAGTGAAGGACCCTTTTCACCCCAGTGACATACTGGGAAAGTGGTGCAAGACTCATATTTTCCTAGACCGATTGACACTCAGGGGGTGATACAGTCATCATTTCTCTGGTAGCCTTTACACTTAACAACCTAGGACAACCTTGTAATCATTTAGGTTTTGTTGACCTGGGAGCCAATTTTTATTATTTAAAAAAAACAAACACATCAGACTTAATGAGGATTCAAACACAAGACCTTCAGGCCAGCTCACAAGCAGCTAGTCACTAAAACCACTGCAGCTTGCATAAAGTGATAATAACATTTTGAATAATGTACACAAATGCTGACAACTAGGAAGAAAAACAGCTCTGAGGCATAAAGTAAAAAAAAAAAAATTGATGTATGTGTTTGATGTTTTCAAAACTACTTAGGTGCCAGAACGAGCAATAAATTACAGCATCAAGACTTGAAACAAAAATTTGGAGAAAGACAGTTATACAAAACAGGGAAATGGCTGAGAGAGAAAGAGTAACAGAGAGAGGGAGAGAGAGAGGAATGGATAGAAAGAGAGATAAACAGTGAGAGAAATTGACAGAGACAGAAATAGAGAGAGAGACAGAGAGAGAAATGGACAGAAAGAGAGAGAAACAGTCAGAAATAGAGAGACAGAAATAGAGAGAGAAAAATAGACAGAGAGACAGAAATAGAGAGAGAGACAGAGAGAGAGAGAGAGAGAGAGATAGAAATAGACATAGAGAGAAAGAAACAGACAGTTTAGAGAGAGAGAGAGAGAGAGAGAGAGAGAGAGAGAGAGAGAGAGAGAGAGAGAGAGAGAGAGAGAGAGAGAGAGAGAGGAAAGTAAGTTGGAAACCTTTGTAGGCAAAATTCAGTGTAGACACAGAGTTTGCCTCATTGATGATTACCATCAAGTTTTCACATACACAAAGAGAAAATTATGAAAAAACAACCAAATAAGAATTGACATTGGAAAAAAGAAATATGATTGGTTCAACTCACCGCAATATCTTCCACATATTTCACCAGCCTTGCCCTGAAGTCTTCCCCAAGGTCCTTGACCTTATGCTGTAACCTATTGACCTGTGTTTCCAGGGCTTCTTTTTCTCCTCTGAGAATAATGAGTTTCTGTAGACACATGAACATAAACCAGCTAGGTAAACATGCAGATATCTCCACCATTGCTGGTCCCAGGCCTGACTTATGGTTAGTGTGGATGGTCATAGGTTACTTAGGTCATAAGTTCAGGAGAAGCTGTAATAATCAGCTATGGTTATCATTATGTAAATTTATTCCTTTATTAAAAAAAGTATTTACCTATATGTTGCCTGGGCCCAAATAGGAAGCAAATAATAACCTCCCATGCTAATCCAAACAGGATTAGTTTGAGACTAATTAACTCTTTCAGAACCAGACTATTTCACAAGAGATAACAAAGTGATGAAATAATCATCATGCCAAATCATAAAGGCTTTACTTTCAAACTGGCAAAATGCATATTTTTAGTGACAAATGGGGAAAGCCAGATTTCTCTAGGATGTTCTAACCAAATGATAAAAATAAAAGATCACATTATGTTATGGAGGGGAATTGAGGGATAAATTCATTCACACACCAGGCATTGCTTCCCGTCTCTCTAGCGTAGTTGGCTAAACCGGATTGCGCAGTGAGCGGGTGACGAACTCCTTGTGGTCCGGGTTCACTCCCGGGGGTGGGCAGAAAAGCCACATTTCTCCCAGATTTACGGTATTTAAAATGGAATCAAGGCCGAAAGGTTGCGATATCCATAATACCGAGCCTAAGGGTTAATAACTCATGGCTTCTGGATACTAAAACAAACAAACAAACCAGGCATTGCTTAGGACTGAAAGAATTAATCCATCTTGCAGAAAACTGTAGGCTAAAGAATCTAACAAGAACTTATTATGAGCTGGCTTAGGGCCTAATCTCCATTAGGAGATGAAAGTAAAAAGAAAAACAAAAGAAAGATTGGATATATTTACAGCAGTTACTAGAAATCAAGAATAAAAGGGGAAAAAAAGATATTTAATACAGGTGTTAATGGTAATGATGGTGATTATGATGGTGATGATAAGAGTAATAAAAAAAAAATTAAAATGATGGTGATAATAATAAGTTTGGGAATAAAGTATGCTAGCATTTTTATACAAAAAAACTTATCAGCTTACAGCATTGATCTCTGAAATCTTTTGTTGTCTTTCCCTGGCCAGAGTTCTAACATCTGTCAACTCTTTCATGAGATTATTCCTGATTATACCAAAAAAAAAACATATAAAACTTATGAAGTTTAACGTCAGAAATACATCGAAAAGTGAGTCCTAGGAGTTTAAAAAAAATGCTTGCCAACTGACTTCGGTGATCACAGTTGTCCACATCACATGATCTGCAATCAGTATACAGTGTGTCATTTTCCATGGTCAGTATAGTAGTTTGAATGTATGTATGCCCGTCTCATCTTTCCAGTGAGTATTGAGTGCTGGCCAGATCTGTGCTTAGATGAAAGGCTGTCAACAATCATCTCTCAATGTACTTCTTTTCAATAAATATTTCATGGTGCTAATAAATACTTTACTTATTTTCTCATAATGGCTTGCAAACAAATCAATCACAATTTTCTTCAGTCTATGATGTTCTATGCATTATCTTTAATAACTTCTTTTTCCTCACATTCACTAGCCAAAAACTACAGTGGAAAGTGCTGGATGGTCATCAAATTCTGGACTTTCATCTTGTTCAAGAACTTGAGTGCTGTGCACATCCATTTTACACATCTGGTTTATTTGTGTGCAGACTGTTTACCTGGCCTCACAGGCAGATGTACTCCAACTTCAAAGGCAATCTTTAATAACAATAACATTCATTTTTTTTTTAAAAGGCTAAAAATTTCTCAGTAAAATACAATGTAGAAAATACGTAAACTTTTTGAGTGATACAATTCCCATTCCTGACAGAAAATTTCTCTTTAATAAAACTGCCAATAAATTAACACAAATTTTAGATATTTACACTAATCATTACATTTAGAATCAACAAACAAACCAGCCACTTACATCCTGCTTTCATATTTCTTGTTTTCATCTCCATACTCATGCTTCAGGCGGTTGATTTCTGTGTCAAACTTTCTCTTGCTGGCAAACAGCTGCGAGAGAAAGAACATAACAAACAAATGCGAGAGAAAGAACATGGCAAACAGCTGTGTGAGAAAGAACATGGCAAACAGCTGCAAGAGAAAGAACATGGCAAACAGCTGCAAGAGAAAGAACATGGCAAACAGCTGTGAGAGAAAAAACATGGCAAACAGCTGAGAAAGAACATGGCAAACAGCTGTGAGAGAAAGAACATGGCAAACAGCTGAGAAAAAACATGGCAAAGAGCTGTGTGAGAAAGAAATGGCAAACAGCTGAGAGAGAATGAATAAACAATGCAATATCATTGCTCATCAAGAAGTTAGTGCCAGATGTGATGGATTTAAATTTTATCTCTGATCTTATTCAGTACCAGACAGCTTAACAGGTGATACATAAAGTGAAGAAATGAAAAAAAAATTAATGAATATGTTACATTCAAAGTGGCAATATACACAGTAGTAGTGACCATTGGGGTAGGCCAGATTTTTAAATATGTGCTGACCAAACATAACAAGTAAGAGAGCCCATTATGCTATGAAGTGAATTCAAGGGCAAGAGTCATTCATACACGATACATTGGTTGAGACTGATAGAGCTGTCGTTATCAAAGCTGCCAGCTCAGTTTGAATACATATCTGTCTGCTACTGAAACCCAAACATCAGTCTTCTTTCTCGGTCAGTGACATGGTTAGTGTGTTTCGCTTTGAGCAAACAAGATTTGTTCAGTGAACAGCCTAGCTGTGCAAAGCAAACTAGTCTACTGTCTATCGTAATTTTAAACAGAGTTGCTTGCTCTTTCTTTATACCAGAAAGTTTCACAGGAGATAACAAAATAATCACAAAATCATGATGCCAAATCATGAATGCATTACTTTTAAATTGTCAATTTACACATTTGTAGTGACCAATGGGAGAGGTCAGATTTCTTTAGTATGTTCTGATCAAATGGTAAAAGTAAACAAATTAATTGTGCTATGGAGCAGAATCAAAACGTAAATTTGTTCCCGCATACTTGGAACCAAAAGAGTAAACTTAAGTATTCCATTTTTAGGGCATGCATTCACACATGGACTGTAGGTCTTTGACATCCACACTCCCATCTGTGCTGATACTTACTGACCAAAGTAAAACATTGTTGAGATTCAAATACAGTAAAACCTCATTAACATGAACTCACTGCTTAGGAAGAACACTTGGTTAACATGAACAAAATTGTGCTCTGGTTAGTACAAATGTTTTTTTAACATGAACTTAATATTTGGTTCCTTAGAATTTGTGTTAACAAGGTTTTACAGTATCCTAGTGTATGTAAACATATTTCTAAGGCTAACCCGTTCTTCCACCTGCTCCCTGTCTTTCTGAGATCCCAAAATCTGGTCAGGCTGGAAATTTAAAATAAAAAAAAATATATATTATTATTCAATTAATTTCAAATAATAAAGTTAAAAGTAAGATAATAAATAAAAGTAATTCTGATGACAAACGACATGAAGACTAGTTAAAAATAAAACAGCAGACAATCTAATTTATACTAGGGATATAACTTACAAAGTAGTTATTACATAGATACAAATTCATTTTACTACAGCATATGAAAGGCTGACCAAACATGTGTCCAAATGTGGGGGCAAGTATTCACGATTAAAACAACCAGAATTATGTTAGAGAGCTCCTTCTTGTTACCAACAGAATGCATCTGCCTGACACCAACTATTGGTTTTAGAATAATCATAAGAAGAAAGCAGAAGAATTTGCAACAACAAAATTTGATGACATTCTCTTGAAATCCCTCTTTGTTATTAAAAAGAAAAACAAGGTAACTCCTCCTCTTCTTCCTCTTCCCACTGAAACCAAGTTTTAGCTGAGTGTCATGGTTTTGTGTATCTGTCTTGCGCTTCTCGGGTGGCATGTTTAGGGGATTTTTTCATCTTTTTGCAGGTTTTGGCTACATAATTTATTCATCTCTATTGCGTGCTAAATTCACAGTGGTGATAAGTATGCCAGGGGTCAAAGTTTATGAGAGAGCATATTAATATTCATGATACATTTATGGTCGAACGAGGTGATTGCAAATACTTGGATCACACGAAGTTTGTTGGAGCGAATTCTGCTCAGTGAAGTTTGAGAGAATTCTGGCCACCACAAAGGTTGCCAAGAGAGTGAGATCAACGTGTAGCAGACCACAAGTGGGGAACCCAGTGAAAGTGAAACAGAATGGATGAGCAAGAATTGCTGTAGTTCCTTGGAGCACATGGATGCATTTGCAAGAACCAAGTGATGACTGTGAATCTGCAACCATGACCAGAATGCAAGAACAACACGTTATAAAGGGTGTGGCCAGACAAGAGCACTATGGAGGAAGCCAAAGAAGAATAACAAACCAACACAGAACTGGTGTTATGAGCCACTACACACTGCAGGATTCACTGAGGAGGGGATCCGAGCACTTATGGACTGAATGGTTCAATGTGCACTGAGCATAATCTGTTGACTAACATGGATGTGTATTAATTTACTCAGTTGGAGGGCATGGGCTGTCCAGTTGAACTGACATAGTCAAATTCTGAATGGTGACAGTGAGGGCAGACACCATAGAAGAGAACGGTGAGTCATGGATTTTGTTGGCCATGGATTTAGTTGGCCATGGATTTTGTTGGCCATGGATTTTGTTGGCCATGGATTTTGTTGGCCATGGATTTTGTTGGCCATGGATTTTGTTGGCCATAGATTTTGTTGGCCATGGATTTTGTTGGCCATGGATTTTGTTGGCCATGGATTTTGTTGGCCATGGATTTTGTTGGCCATAGATTTTGTTGGCCATGGATTTTGTTGGCCATGGATTTTGTTGGCCATGGATTTTGTTGGCCATGGATTTTGTTGGCCATGGATTTTGTTGGCCATAGATTTTGTTGGCCATGGATTTTGTTGGCCATGGATTTTGTTGGCCATAGATTTTGTTGGCCATAGATTTTGTTGGCCATGGATTTTGTTGGCCATGGATTTTGTTGGCCATAGATTTTGTTGGCCATGGATTTTGTTGGCCATGGATTTTGTTGGCCATGGATTTTGTTGGCCATAGATTTTGTTGGCCATGGATTTTGTTGGCCATGGATTTTGTTGGCCATAGATTTTGTTGGCCATAGATTTTGTTGGCCATGGATTTTGTTGGCCATGGATTTTGTTGGCCATAGATTTTGTTGGCCATGGATTTTGTTGGCCATGGATTTTGTTGGCCATAGATTTTGTTGGCCATGGATTTTGTTGGCCATGGATTTTGTTGGCCATAGATTTTGTTGGCCATAGATTTTGTTGGCCACTTGCGGAAATTGTGTAGGGATGCCAGGGTGGCAACATTTCTCGCTGATTGCCATGTGGCTTGTTCGTCTATTGTGCCAGGACTACACATGAGTACGGAGGTGCCCAGTAGTCCCCAGGAGGACACAGCAATTAATGCAGCTTCAAAGCCAGGATACATCATCGTCGTAATCTGTGCATCCATAAAAATTCACTAGGATAGATTAATTAAATGTTGAATGTTGAATTAAGAATCAACATCAAAGCACTCAGGACACTCACATAAGCGCTCCATCACCATCTTCAGCAGCAAGTAAAGAGTTCCAATTCTGATGGTACTAGTAACTGTTTGTATATTCATCTCCCTTTTTCCCTGAGTGTTGAGCATCGGCCAGATCCCCTGGTAACTCCCCACAGTACCCTTCTCCTCAGACGGTAATGATCTATTTGTACCTCTGCACTGTTCGCTCACTCCCAAAGGGCAGTCATAACATCTAGTTTGACATACATCAATTGACCACCAAATGGTGCAGAACCTGCTCATTTTCCAACACACTGGCATCACCTGGAGAAAATATCCAAAGGACATTTACTACCCGGGACCTCTAAAGTGATGCTTGCCACTCTGCATGGAGCGTGCCTACCTCCACCTTTCTCAACATGCTCTGTGAGTTAGTTACAATCATGGCATGTGTGTACAGCTGACTGTCATGCTAGCAAAAGGCAGCAATGACTGCCTCCACCTCCATTCTCAAACTAAACATTGTGATATCACAAGCCAGACTTTGCTGTACTAAGTGAAGTTCATTTGCTTTTCCTATGAACCCCCATGCACTTGGTCTGCCCCTCAACACAGAGCCATCTGTGTAGATAATCACATCACTTGGGTGGAATTTGTCATGAATCTATTTTTGAACTTCTGATTCTGCAGCACCAGCTGGCCAGTCCCTGCACTTACAACCTAAAGTGATAAGAACCCTACACAAGTCTGAAACTTGCTCGGACACTTTCATCCACTTCTCTCCTCGCCAAAATTTATCAAGCCTGCACACATGTCTAATTGCTTGCACCATCCAAGACCTTCCTCTTTTTCAATCTGTGACCCTTAGCTCTACGCAGGATAGATTACTTTCGGTGGTACATTACAGTCTGTTGGATAGTTGTGTTCAGACTCAAACCCACAACCTTCAGATCCACATGTAAGCATCTAGTCACTTCACCACAGCGGCTCCTGCTGACAGAGATAAGAATGTAACAATATAAACACACACCTGGATCTTCCCTGAAGTGTTCTGTTGAATAATGGCTCTAATTCTAGCAATTTCAGCGTTGGGATCATCCATTGTGCTTGGGTCTCCATTTGTAAGGATCAGAACCTGTCTCATGAGTGCTGCCTTGTTGTTGACCAGATTTAGCAGTTCTATGGCCAAATTCTCATTTCGTTGACACTGTGGAAAATAATAGCATTCCTTTATATGCTAACTTTTTTAAGTATCATAACTATTAGCTTGTATCCTACATTACCATATAGGTACTGTTTACAGGGCCATTTTTAGGATGTATATCACTCCTGTAGTAATTAATTTTATGCCCTCTTTTCCTTCCTCTAAACTTAATCACCACTTTTTATTTACAGATTACTAACAATATGTTGTGAATTACTTACTTCACTTTTAAACTGTATTGAAAAATAGAAACGTAAAGCACTTCCTTACGTAGTCGCTCCTCTTAAACCTTGGGGTGTAGAGGTTTGCCAGAGAGATTGCCAGATTTCTCTATCAGCAGTTTTCTTCCTGGGTTTGTTTCATTCCAGTCCTCTGTCAGTTAGGGACTGTTGGATTTTGTCTTCCCAGCGCACCCTGGGTCGTCCTGGAGGTCTGGTTCCCTGGTTCTTAGCCTCCTATGCCTGCCATGGTGGCCGATTTTCTCCCATTCTGCATACATGTCCAAACCATCGTAACTGTGACTGATCCACTCGGATTTGTAAGGACTGGGTATCAAGATCTTAACATATTGTCTGATTGCAGACTTTGTCCCTTCTTGTCACTTGGACCACCTTTCTCAGATATCTCATTTCCGAGACCTGGAGCTGGCTTCTGCGAGCTGTTGTCATTGTCCATGACTCACCCCCATAAACATAATAAACAACAGATCAAACAAATATGCAAGTTGGGATCCTCATGGAGCAGTGATGCACAATACAAGAAGAAACTATCATAATGATAAAACAAAGATACTGACATATTTTTAAACTTCTCTATTTGCTTAATTTACAATTGTTTCCATCCTTAGAAATGTGCCACCATGTACAGCTGCAAAGGCTGCACATAGTGTACATATGGCCCTTGTTGTGTATGAAATAACTAGGCATTAATTTAGTTAACACTAATTTGACTGATTTATACTGATGTATAGAAATCCTGCAAACGAACACTGTAACCCACTGACTACCACTGTCTGCAGTTCACTGTCTTGTTTAATTCACTCAGCAACTCATAAAATGTGGCTTGAATTGGCACCCTGAAAAAGGCCAACTTGGGGTGGTGGCATGGAAGTGCCCTGAAAAGGACCAAAAGAAAACAGGGCACAATGAACATACTAAAGAAACAAAAAAATGCTAAAAACAACCAGCACATGATACCCCTAGAATATAGGAGTTTTTGTTTTAGGGTTAGTTTTAAATTAACACTGCCTAACCCTAACCCTAACTCCACCAATACTATCGGAAAATCCGCATAACTCCGTAGGAATTTCTTACAAAATATTGGAGTCCCGAGGTAGGGCCCCCCCAAAAAATAAAAGCTAACTATGTCAACTAAAGTGAAAAAAACAACACTTGTTTATGGGAGAGCCAGTCAAATTTCTTGGCCAAATTTTGACAAGCAAATTGTGAACATGTGATGGCCGCAAAGATTTATAAGAAAAACCAAAAAGAATTGACAAATACAATGAGAGAAGATTTTTGCCAGTATTTTTCCTGGCATTGAAGAGTATCAGGTCATGAACTGATACATACTTTTAGAGATTGTAAAGTGTGAAGAAGCGGTCATCAAAGGCAACCAGAGATTTACTAATGTAGACAGCTCTTTTGTTTCTTGTTGAAGCTACACCGTTACTGCAAATAACCACATTATATCTATGAATATGCCTAAGAAGAAAGAGATAGGCTGGGTCTGAAGACAGTGGTTGGAGTCTCTGAGTTGGTCATGGCTGTCAATGATCAGCTTCCTCTTTATGCCAGGATATGCAGGTGTAAAAGAAAAAAAAATAACTGATAGGCTGGTGGGTAAGGCTACTGTGCTTGGCAGATGAGCAATAGATCATGCTGATATACTGAATGCTCTATGAGAAATAAGCAATTTGTCAGAACCAAGTGATGACTGTGAATCTGCACTCATGGCCAGACTGCAAGAATAGCAAGTAAAAGGGTGTGGGGTCAGGCAAGAGCACCAGGCCTGAAGCCAATGAAGAATAATAAACTCACAGAAGGGATCTATTCATTTATGGACTGACTGGTTTCATGTGCAGTGATGATGATATTTCAGTTAAACAACTAACTTCTCTCTTGTGTTCATTTGTTAGGGCCAAATAATTGGTTTTCAGAACCACATATTCATCAGCCAGGTCTTTTCTGTCAGCATCCATCTCAGCCAGTCGTTCCTTGGCTGCCTTGGCTTGCCTGTGGTACTTGTCCCTTTCATTCTGAGCCTCCATCAGCTGGTTCTCTAGCATGATGATCTGAGGAAATCAAACAATGTGATTATAACAGAGGGTACCATAGAAATGGAAGGCACAGTCAAAATAATGGCATATTCTTCTTCTTCTTCTTCTTCTTCTCTTCCACCTTGTACCTCATCGAAGTGTTGGGGGAGATGTTACATTCGTTGGTGAGCTCTGTCAAGAGCACTATTAATACTGATGTTCATTTCTGTAAGGCTGTTCTCACTCCATATTTTCTTAGGTCTTCCACTCGCTCTATACCCATTGTAACGTTTTAGTGTGGCTCACTGTGCCAGATAGTAATGGCATATTGCTTCATTTTCTTTTTTTTTTTCTCTAGATCTCAACATTGAATCTTCAACATTGAAGGGAAAATAGAAGCGGACTTTTATTCAGGTTCCAACTGCTACTATCAGCACGTCAGCTGTTCGTAGATTACTAATGAAAGTGACTGAGCATGTTTTGGAATGTCCCAAGTTCAGGAATGTCAATTCTGGATTTGTTCATTCATTCAGGTTGACCTAGTGTAAAATGGGTGTGAAGTAAATGTACAGAAAGTTAAGGTGGCTGGCGTGATGTTGACCAAATTACTCACTAAGTGACAATTGATCTGTAAAATATAGGACTTACACCACATACCCGATATGCCTAATGGCCTTGGAGAGGGTATTTTACTCAATGTTGAATGTCATTTTCTTGAAACAATTATTTAGCACTTGGAAAACTCTGACATAGTAAGATTGATCTTTGGTGGGTTATCTGGCACATATTGATTAAAACAAAAAATAACTCACTTTGTTTGTCAGTTCAAAGTTGGTGGCTTCTGCTTCCTCTTTGATTTTGTTGTTTTCTATCTGCATTTCCACCAGTGATTGAGAGACCTGCATGTAAATGACACAAGAGTACAGATTCAGAACCACTTCTGTCATAATCAAGAAATGTATAGGATGAAGCCAGAATTTCAGTAAGTATATTCAAGGAGCAGAAGGTCGTGGGTTCGAATGCTGATAGAACCGTTAATTTTTTCAAAAATGACCTTGACTCTCAGGTCCGCCTAGCCTTGAGTGGGTACCAGGTGCAGTCCTGGGAAGTAAAGACAGCCAGCGTGATGCTGACCACATCATCCACCAAGTGCAGATTGGTCTATAAAAATATCAGTATAGCCCTATTTTCCCAAAACGCCTAAAGGTGTGCAAAAGGAACCTTTACCTTTTACTTTTATCTTCAAGGAAACTTGTATCAAGGCTTCTGAGCTAAACTTTCACAGAAAAATAATTAGAATTTAATGGATGAAGCAAGCTGTAGTGTAGTGGCTAGACACTCGCCTGTGGCTGTAGTGTAGTGGCTAGACACTTGCCTGTGGCTGTAGTGTAGTGGCTAGACACTTGCCTGTGGCTGTGGTGTAGTGGCTAGACACTTGCCTGTGGCTGTGGTGTAGTGGCTAGACACTTGCCTGTGGCTGTAGTGTAGTGGCTAGACACTTGCCTGTGGCTGTGGTGTAGTGGCTAGACACTTGCCTGTGGCTGTGGTGTAGTGGCTAGACACTCGCCTGTGACTGGCTGTAGTGTAGTGGCTAGACACTCGCCTGTGGCTGTGGTGTAGTGGCTAGACACTCGCCTGTGGCTGTAGTGTAGTGGCTAGACACTTGCCTGTGGCTGTGGTGTAGTGGCTAGACACTTGCCTGTGGCTGTAGTGTAGTGGCTAGACACTTGCCTGTGGCTGTAGTGTAGTGGCTAGACACTTGCCTGTGGCTGTGGTGTAGTGGCTAGACACTTGCCTGTGGCTGTGGTGTAGTGGTTAGACACTTGCCTGTGGCTGTGGTGTAGTGGCTAGACACTTGCCTGTGGCTGTAGTGTAGTGGCTAGACACTTGCCTGTGGCTGTGGTGTAGTGGCTAGACACTTGCCTGTGGCTGTGGTGTAGTGGTTAGACACTTGCCTGTGGCTGTAGTGTAGTGGCTAGACACTTGCCTGTGGCTGTGGTGTAGTGGTTAGACACTTGCCTGTGGCTGTGGTGTAGTGGCTAGACACTTGCCTGTGGCTGTGGTGTAGTGGCTAGACACTTGCCTGTGGCTGTAGTGTAGTGGCTAGACACTTGCCTGTGGCTGTAGTGTAGTGGCTAGACACTTGCCTGTGGCTGTTGTGTAGTGGCTAGACACTTGCCTGTGGCTGTGGTGTAGTGGCTAGACACTTGCCTGTGGCTGTAGTGTAGTGGCTAGACACTTGCCTGTGGCTGTAGTGTAGTGGCTAGACACTTGCCTGTGGCTGTTGTGTAGTGGCTAGACACTTGCCTGTGGCTGTGGTGTAGTGGCTAGACACTTGCCTGTGGCTGTGGTGTAGTGGCTAGACACTCGCCTGTGACTGGCTGTAGTGTAGTGGCTAGACACTCGCCTGTGGCTGTGGTGTAGTGGCTAGACACTCGCCTGTGGCTGTAGTGTAGTGGCTAGACACTTGCCTGTGGCTGTGGTGTAGTGGCTAGACACTTGCCTGTGGCTGTGGTGTAGTGGCTAGACACTTGCCTGTGGCTGTAGTGTAGTGGCTAGACACTTGCCTGTGGCTGTGGTGTAGTGGCTAGACACTCGCCTGTGGCTGTGGTGTAGTGGCTAGACACTCGCCTGTGGCTGTAGTGTAGTGGCTAGACACTTGCCTGTGGCTGTGGTGTAGTGGCTAGACCCTTGCCTGTGACTGTGGTGTAGTGGCTAGACAGTTGCCTGTGGCTGTGGTGTAGTGACTAGACACTCGCCTGTGGCTGTAGTGTAGTGGCTAGACACTTGCCTGTGGCTGTGGTGTAGTGGCTAGACAGTTGCCTGTGGCTGTGGTGTAGTGGCTAGACACTCGCCTGTGGCTGTGGTGTAGTGGCTAGACACTTGCCTGTGGCTGTGGTGTAGTGGCTAGACACTCGCCTGTGGCTGTGGTGTAGTGGCTAGACACTTGCCTGTGGCTGTGGTGTAGTGACTAGACACTCGCCTGTGGCTGTAGTGTAGTGGCTAGACACTTGCCTGTGGCTGTGGTGTAGTGGCTAGACAGTTGCCTGTGACTGTGGTGTAGTGGCTAGACAGTTGCCTGTGACTGTGGTGTAGTGGCTAGACACTCGCCTGTGACTGTAGTGTAGTGGCTAGACAGTTGCCTGTGACTGTGGTGTAGTGGCTAGACACTCGCCTGTGGTTGTAGTGTAGTGGCTAGACACTCGCCTGTGGCTGTAGTGTAGTGGCTAGACAGTTGCCTGTGACTGTAGTGTAGTGGCTAGACAGTTGCCTGTGACTGTGGTGTAGTGGCTAGACACTCGCCTGTGACTGTGGTGTAGTGGCTAGACAGTTGCCTGTGACTGTGGTGTAGTGGCTAGACACTCGCCTGTGACTGTAGTGTAGTGGCTAGACAGTTGCCTGTGACTGTGGTGTAGTGGCTAGACACTCGCCTGTGGCTGTAGTGTAGTGGCTAGACACTCGCCTGTGGCTGTAGTGTAGTGGCTAGACAGTTGCCTGTGGCTGTGGTGTAGTGGCTAGACAGTTGCCTGTGACTGTGGTGTAGTGGCTAGACAGTTGCCTGTGACTGTGGTGTAGTGGCTAGACAGTTGCCTGTGGCTGTGGTGTAGTGGCTAGACACTTGCCTGTGGCTGTGGTGTAGTGGCTAGACACTTGCCTGTGGCTGTGGTGTAGTGGCTAGACACTTGCCTGTGGCTGTGGTGTAGTGGCTAGACACTTGCCTGTGGCTGTGGTGTAGTGGCTAGACACTTGCCTGTGGCTGTGGTGTAGTGGCTAGACACTTGCCTGTGACTGGCTGTGGTGTAGTGGCTAGACACTTGCCTGTGGCTGTGGTGTAGTGGCTAGACACTTGCCTGTGACTGGCTGTGGTGTAGTGGCTAGACACTTGCCTGTGGCTGTGGTGTAGTGGCTAGACACTCGCCTGTGGCTGTGGTGTAGTGGCTAGACACTTGCCTGTGGCTGTAGTGTAGTGGCTAGACACTTGCCTGTGGCTGTGGTGTAGTGGCTAGACACTTGCCTGTGACTGGCTGTGGTGTAGTGGCTAGACACTTGCCTGTGACTGGCTGTGGTGTAGTGGCTAGACACTTGCCTGTGGCTGTGGTGTAGTGGCTAGACAGTTGCCTGTGGCTGTGGTGTAGTGGCTAGACACTTGCCTGTGGCTGTGGTGTAGTGGCCAGACACTTGCCTGTGGCTGTGGTGTAGTGGCTAGACACTTGCCTGTGGCTGTGGTGTAGTGGCTAGACACTTGCCTGTGGCTGTGGTGTAGTGGCTAGACACTTGCCTGTGGCTGTGGTGTAGTGGCTAGACACTCGCTTGTGGCTGTGGTGTAGTGGCTAGACACTTGCCTGTGGCTGTGGTGTAGTGGCTAGACACTTGCCTGTGGCTGTGGTGTAGTGGCTAGACACTTGCCTGTGACTGGCTGTGGTGTAGTGGCTAGACACTTGCCTGTGACTGGCTGTGGTGTAGTGGCTAGACACTTGCCTGTGACTGGCTGTGGTGTAGTGGCTAGACACTTGCCTGTGGCTGGCTGTGGTGTAGTGGCTAGACACTTGCCTGTGACTGGCTGTGGTGTAGTGGCTAGACACTTGCCTGTGACTGGCTGTGGTGTAGTGGCTAGACACTTGCCTGTGACTGGCTGTGGTGTAGTGGCTAGACACTTGCCTGTGGCTGTGGTGTAGTGGCTAGACACTTGCCTGTGACTGGCTGTGGTGTAGTGGCTAGACACTTGCCTGTGGCTGTGGTGTAGTGGCTAGACACTTGCCTGTGACTGGCTGTGGTGTAGTGGCTAGACACTTGCCTGTGACTGGCTGTGGTGTAGTGGCTAGACACTTGCCTGTGACTGGCTGTGGTGTAGTGGCTAGACACTTGCCTGTGGCTGTGGTGTAGTGGCTAGACACTCGCCTGTGGCTGTGGTTTAGTGGCTAGACACTTGCCTGTGGCTGTGGTGTAGTGGCTAGACACTTGCCTGTGGCTGTGGTTTAGTGGCTAGACACTTGCCTGTGGCTGTGGTGTAGTGGCTAGACACTCGCCTGTGACTGGCTGTGGTGTAGTGGCTGGACACTCGCCTCCAGATCCAAAGGTCATGGATTCAGGTCCTGACAGAGCCAGATTTTTTTCAGAATTGATCTTGGCTCCCAGGTCAACCGAGCTTGAAATGGGTACCAGGTAAAGACTTGGGAAGTAAAGGTGGCTGGTGTGATGTTGATGAAGTCATCCAAAGACTGCCTAGTGGCCTATAAAATATGTGTCTAGCCTATATGTCCAATAGGCCTATGGGTGTTGAGAAGGGTCCTTTACTTTACTTACTTTGAATGAAGCAAAGAAAAATTTGCAGAAGTTCAACATGTCCGTATGTTATCAAGGCTCTTAGGTAAACAACACAAAAATCTAAAAGCTATAAACATCATGCCAGGAATTGAACTTGTTCCCTCCAAATGAGGACAGAGATCACATCGGAAACAAGTGTACTAAGACACATGACCAACTGGCACCTCAAAAAAAAAGTGTCTTCATTGGCCAGGTCTATTGTACACCTTAATACAAAACTATGGAATACAGAATAATTTCTGCTCAAACTATTAGAATGGCAGCTTAGATGACATACAATTATATTAATCGAGCACAAGTCGAATAACAGACACAACAACAATTACAAACACATAGGGCAGTAATGCCGTGTCTAGAGTACAGCATAGATTTAGGTACGAGATTTGATTGGTGGGTTCTTTAATTTTTGTTGCTGCTTATTTACATTGACAACAAGAACAATGATAGATTATGTACCAATCACACAAGAACAATGATAGATTATGTACCAATCACACAAGAATTTTTTTTTTTAAAAAGTCCAAAGAACGCACCTTGAGTTTCTCCTCTTCACTTAGCAACAGCTGCTGGGAGAGATCTGTTTTTGTGGTAGCAACATGTCCAAACTTGTTGCTGAGTTGGTCGAGCCTCAGCTGCAGCCTTTCATTCTGATCTTTCAAGACAAGCTGTGGAGTTGTTCAATAGTTAATGTTAGAGAATAAAAAATTAAAAGTTAAAAAAATGCACACATTCACAGAATAAAGGCTGAAAATCAACTCAGTGTTCCTGGCAAAATTTACTCCAAACACCTGAGCACATACTGTACAACTATCCCCTTCAGCATAATGTGTCAGAAAACAAATCACCAGAGGGAAGAGGCATCTAGGACAAACTCTAGGAAACTATTGAAAACTTATTACCGACGTGATGGTTCATGGCGGCAACACAGTTGATAAGTTAAGCATATACAGCCGATCACAAAGAAGAGGAAATGCAAAAATCTGTATAGAAAATAAAATAATTCATATCTTTTTTCTTTTTCTGTCTTATTTTCTCCAGACCCTGTTTTGCGTTTTAGTGTGATGTTTGAAGAAGCATCTGGTGCAAGTCTTGATGTGTGCTCTGTAGCAGATGGTAGTCACAGCCTTAAATATTCCATCCCTCTACTGCTTTTGTGGGCGACCTATATCTTTGCTTCCAATGTGTCTAAGTGACAAGGTTCTCTGTGGTACGTTAGTATCCATCACAGTGTCTTTTTCTGGAAACAAAAAAGGTGGCAGTACTCAACACAGCGTATCTAATATAAGGTGCCGGTACGCACCACAAAGTGTCTATTACAGTAGTGATGAAGAAAAGATGCTCTAAAAAAAACATGCTGGTATTACATACCATTGCATACCACCAGAAAATAAGCCCTGACAACTTCATACAATGGAGAACAAAGAAATATAAGTGGGTGGATTTGTAACAGGACAACGACTGGGCAGGACAAGAGGACAAACCTTGTATGCGATTCTGCTGATTCAGTGAAATGGAAACCCATGATTGCCAATGCTTATGTATCAACAAGACACATAGTGATGATGAGTATCTGTACTTTACATATGAATAATTAGAAAAACATTTCCCCCAGTATATTTTATCTTCCACACAAGCTGTTGTGTGTGTGCGTGTTTTCAGCACTGAAATTCTCTAAAATTCCTTATACTCGCTGAGCCCAGCACATCCTTCATCACTTGAGAATCTAAAAAAGTTGACGGTTTTTACAGTTTTATTTTAAGAAAAAATCATCATCATCAATCATCAGTTCTCGGTATGCCTAGTGGCACATGTGGCTTCAGAGAGGACTTCCTGTGCTTTTCTGTCCTGTGCAATCTTCAGTGCAGTTTTCCATGTCAGAGATGCTGCATTCAGGTCACTCTCCATCGTTCATCTCCATGTTGGGGGACCCTTCTTTCTCTTATTAAGAAAAAATGCATCATTATAATTCTGTGAAATTCTACCCTACGGAACTAGAAGCAGTGAAACAAAAGCGGGATGGTTTTTTTTCTTTTTTTAAATCTTGATAGGTTTTTATTAATATCCAGGATATCGAGCTGCTAGACCAGCGAGAATAGATGCAAGCGTGAAATCCTCTTGTTCTTTTATGATGTCACATCTGCAAATACAGAGAGAGAGAGAGAGAGAGAGAGAGAGAGAGAGAGAGAGAGAGAGAGAGAGAGAGAGAGAGAGAGAGAACGAACGAACGAACGAACGAACAATCTTTATTTTCAAAGGGTTAAGAATTGGGCACACAGGCCCGTCTTACATTCTGCCCTGAGAGAGAGAGAGAGAGAGAGAGAGAGAGAGAGAGAGAGAGAGAGAGAGAGAGAGAAAGAGACACCACACACGCACGCACGCATGCACGAAAGCACGCACGCACGCACGCACACACACACACACACACACACACTCATATATCTTCTTATATATATATAAACAACTGCTCCCTATACTAAATGTCTAAATCCATAAATATATTTTTTACATAGAGGGAGGTAGTCAATGAGTACAAACACATCGAAGAATTAATTGATTTTCTTCCCTTTGACCATTTACGCATGGTGTTGCTCACTTTGCCACAGAGAGCAATGTGACAATAAGTAAGATCCATTTTCACGCCTTAGATGCATCGGGCACACGGAAAGAGCAATCATATATTTACAGACTAATCAGCACTAGGTGGGTAATGTGGTCAGCATTACGCCGGTCGTCTTTACTTCCCCAGAACATACATCCTGGTACCCATTTTAGGCTGGGTCGACCTGCGACGCCCCATACAGTGATAAACATCCACGCAATCAGCAGTTGGAGTCCGACTCGCAACGCCCAAGCCACGGACGCCGCTAATGTTACAATAATAGTATAAATAATAAATGAATCATCTGCAGAAAGGTATTCTCCCCCCATCCCAAATAATATCTATAAAAAAATTCTTATTCGGGGGGGGGGGGGGGGGGGGGTGTTAATATAATCATACTAACCACATAAACACACTATGCAGTTGCAGCCAGAACCAAATCTGTCATACATGTGTGCTGTAAACTGTCCAAAGACATCATGTCAACCAAAACCCAGAAACACGAAAATACAGCGTTCTCTGGGCAAGATGGTTAAATGAGGTGCTAATGCGGGAGTGAACAAAGGATAAAAGGACCAAATGTATTAAAAGGAGTTACTGGAGCAAATACATGAAATACGAACGTACCTCATAAATGAAGTACCAATATACAAATAAATACATTAGTGCACTAAAGGAACAAACGCCTAATTTAAAAAACAAAAAATTAAGAATTCATAAGCAAAAAAATGGGCCAAATAAATTTGTGGCTTCTACACAAAACGATGAACGGCTTCTTGAACCAACTGAACTGAAGAACCGATGTATTAAATAAAAGACTTACATTTTCTGTTTGAAGCTTCTGTACCTCTGAAGTTGCACTGACCAAATATGGAGCTGTAGAAGACATGTTTGTCCTAGCTCCAAATATCTCCTTGAAATCAATGGTAGTTGTTCTGAAACGTGTTGCCAGTTTGTATTAGAGATTTCCTAGCAATTTATGTTAAAATGTGATGTCAATATATGTTAGTGATTTGTTGGCATTTAATGTTAAAATATTTTGGCAGTTTATGTTGGAGTAGGCATTTTGTGTTAAAATATATTAAGACTGTTTATGTTGGAGATTTATTGGCAATTTATGTTAAAATATATTGGCTGTTGGTGTTGGTTTTATTGGCAAATAATTTTTAAAAGTTTTGGTTGTTTATGTTGGTGATTCATTGGCATTTTATGGTGGAGACGTGCTCAAAAAAAAGTTTATGATAAAATCTATTGGCAGTTTATGTGGGAGTTTTATTGGCATTTTATGTTAAAATATATTGGCAGTGTATGTAATAAATAAATTAGCCTATCTTGTTAGATGTATGTCAGATACTTTTGGCAGTTTCTAGTAAGGTTATGTAAAGAGTTCAACTTCAAAATATGTTAACAGTTGCTTGAAGAAACTTTATAGCAGTTTATGGCACACTGGCCCTAAGCAGTGACGTCAATGTCACTTTACCAAATCAGTACCACGACCTTTCTCTAAAGTCGGTCATGCTTTATTTACATTATGGTAGTAACCTGTGTAGCCGACTTATAACTTCTTAAGAGGATTAGCAGGGTGACTGAGTGTCATCCTGAATGCTATGTGGATTATCTAACTGGGGACCCACTAATCTAATGAACATCTTCTTTGTTCTTTTCCAACCATTCTTGTATCTGGTTGTTTGTCTATCACAAGGGATGAAGACCACTTTGCATCCAAACTTAATAATGATCAATGGTTATGAGTACGAAGATAACTGATGAGAGCGCGAACATTTCTTGAACAGTGTGGACAACAGAGGGAAGCAACAGTTGATGTGGAATTTGCCACATTTTGGGTCATACAGGGAGAGTGGAACAGACAAAGCCTAATATCTGAGCTCACAACTGTAGAAGAGGGAGGAGGAGGAAGACCAGGGAGCTGATGTATTAACATCAACAACATCTTACAGCAGCCCATGATCACACTTGTCGGCGACACACTCCTGACATTGAAACAACAGCTCTCTAATTGGTCTCGAGTCAAAGTCTGAACTCACACATGAAACAAAACTAGCGCTACCAGGCATACAGACTGGCCCACCTGCCGGCAGGTGTTGAAACATTAGTACCAGACCCTAATGAAAAGCCGATCCCTTACAAATCGTTCGAAGACTTGACCTGAAATACACACCTCTTCTTTAGTTAGCTTTCAGACGACGAGAAGATCAAAAACCCACTTGAACACCCCGGATGTAATATCAGCTGACAGTTCAGTAATAACAAACGTCGTTTTTTGGCACCAAAGTAGTAGAATTATTGATCCCATTCCCCTGAGACACCGCGAACGAGCGGTTCTCACATTTTCAGTGAGTGACCTATTTCCGCTATGAAAATTAGCAATAGAAAGGAAAGATAAACAATTGATTTCACCGGAAACCACGAAATTCTTCAACAAGTAATACATTTTTCCATGTGTGAAAAGTAATGGACTTCAGGCATATTGGGCATAAATCTCTAGACGTATATTCTATAAACTAATCGCACTTGGTGATCTTTGAAATGTAGTAACAGATTATAGCAGAAGTAAAAAAGACAGAACAGAGTACAGAAATGGCAACAATATGTGAACGTCTACAGAGATAGTGAACTTATTGAAATTCAATATTGCCAGTTCTATTAACGTATGATGTAAACTGCCCACCGGCCATACTAAATACCAGGACACAGTCGGTGCATAGATTAAAAGCATTCCATGGCAAAAGACAGCTCACAGGGTTGCACCAAGCACTAAACTCAGTAGCTCAGGCAGCGAAACCGTAAAGCCTATACGACCCCTTTGGGTGGGCATGTTAAAGTACCGGTGGCTTTGTCCTCCCCCCACCCCACTCTCTCTCACCCAACTCCGGACAGGGTCGCGTAAAACCATGGGAGCAGGTGGGCATGTTGAAGTACCGGTGGCTTTGTCCTCCCCCCCCCCCCCCACCTCACTCTCTCTCACCCAACTCCAGACAGGGTCGCGTAAAACCATGGGAGCAGGTGGGCATGTTGAAGTACCGGTGACTTTGTCCTCCCCCCCCCCCCCCCCCCACTCTCTCTCACCCAACTCCAGACAGGGTCGCGTGAAACCATTGGAGCAGCCGACAGATAGTTGTTGGTTGTGGTCCCATTCTCTCCGATGAGCAGAGTATCACATGACATTGACAATGGGCAGAGTATCACATGACATTGACGATGGGTAGAGTATCACATGACATTGACAATGGGCAGAGTATCACATGACATTGACAATGGGCAGAGTATCACTTGACATTGACAATGGGCAGAGTATCACATGACAGTGACAATCGACGGAGTACCACATGACAGTGACAATCGACGGAGTACTACATGACAGTGACAATGGTTACAGTTACCCTAACACTAGAAGGAAAGCAGTGACAAACTATCTTCTTCCAGATGCCAAGAAATTGCATAATTTAATAGTCTTTAATGGATGCAGAAGAAGTACACATTCAGCGACAAGGCTTAGAGTGTATTATTGACAAAAACAGATATAATGGTCATTATCAAAAAGACAAAAACAGCACAGTGGTTACAATCTGTCAGCCAGATGTCTGACAGTCAATAAAATCATCCGATCTGTACTATAAATCACAAACCCTTTCTCTATTTCGTGTGTATTAGTGTTTAATCCTTCCAAACCGTGACCAATACACGGGTTACATTTTTATGTGCTATTATTATTACAATATGTAATTTGTTAATCACATTGGTGGCCCAAGCTATCGTGCATTTCTTTATTGATTGCAACGGTCAGTAAAAGTAAACTTTTGCTGAAGTTATATCTGTTTTAATAAATGTTTTTCTTTTACTTTCCTCGAATCATTTAAAAGTGTTATATATATATATATATAGCATTATAAATATAGGGTAGCGGCGAAGACCAAGATGGGGTAGAGGACGGTAAAATGAGACATTATTTCACTATCCCGGGCAAAGCCGGACAATCACATCTAGTTTTAGATAGAAGACAGACTTTGACTTTCTGAAATATGCTTCCTCTGGGGATTCATCCATTTCATCTTGTTCTGACAAATCTGCTTCTTCTGTAGCACCTTCATTGTAGAACCCTTTTCTTTTGCGTTTTGCTTCACCCGGAGTTCCAAAGAGCTTCACTTCAATGCACAAACTAAAAGCAACAGGCGTATCTTCCTGTACATATTGTCTCAGCTGTCCCATAGATTTGGGCTCTGAAATCAAGCTCCAGAGTTGCATTTCTGAACTGAATAACCTTGTTACACACAGCAGCGGGAACATACCATAGAGTACCATACAACAGCCATTATGAAACAAAAGAAGGATGTAACATCCTGGACTGAATAACCTTGTTATACACAGCAGCGGGAACTAATACCATAGAGTACTATACAAAAGCCATTATATGTAACATAAGACAACGGTCAGTTAATTTCTTTTCCTAATTTGGCAGCTACGTTCAACTGTAAGAGATTTTCTTGTGCTAATTTGAGGCCTGGAAAGTAGGCTACAGGGGGCTTTATACTTTTAACACAATCGAAACACTGTGGGTTAGAGAGGCTGTGTTGAGAACAGCCAAAACAGTTCTGCAATTTTTTCCGTCGTTGTGGACTATAACTAAACAAGCTGTAACAGTTTGTATAGTTTCAAAGTAAGTTATGGCTTTAAGAATGCTTTCTGTGGCATCAGTTTCACCCAAATTCGGTGTGTGGCATTCATGTGCTGACAATAAAGCTGTTTCACATTGCTTAACTTTTCTTGCGCGTACATCTTATATTTTGCTGCCATGTTTCTACCATCATCTGTGCTATGTCATATCTTGTTTTATGACCCGTGTCAACAAATTGGAAAAAAAATGTTGACAATTTGACACTGATTTTCATATGGTTTTATGTATCGCCAACAAATGTTGTTTATTTATCCTGGGATTCATCTGGTGTGGAACCAGTTGTTTGTTTAACGTGGGACTAATCTGGTGTGGAACCAGTTGTTTGTTCAGCGTGGGATTCATCTGGTATGGATTCAGTTGTTTGTTCAAGTTGTGATTTATCTGGTGATAGCGAAGTGGAATAGACGTCGTTAAGGGCAGCAAAGTCTTGCATACGATATCACAACATCTAGTTTGAGAATTGAGGTGGAGGCAGTCTCTGCTGCCTTCCTTTGGCTTGAGAATCAGCTGTACCACCATGCCGTGATTGTAAATGACTCACAGAGCATGTTGAGAAAGGTTATGACAGTCATGCTTCGTGCAGAGTGGCAAGCATCAATTCAGTGGTCCCGGGTAGTTAGCATCCATTGGATATTTTCTCCAGGTCATGTCGGTGTGTTCGGAAATGAGCAGGCAGATAGACTGGCCGGTTCTGCACCACTTGGTGGTGAACTGATGTTTGACAAGCTAGATATTTTTAGGGCCCTTTGGATAGATCATTGCGGTCGGAGGAGAATGGCGCTGTGAGGAGAGACCAGGGGATGTGGCCGACGCCCAACACTTAGGGCAAGGAGGAGACGGATATACAGTCAGACGGCTACTAGTGCCATCGAAATTGGAATTCTTCGCTTGCTGCTGAAGATGGGGAGGGAGCACTTTTGGGAATGTGTCCCGAGTGCTGTGATGTCGATTCTTAATTCAACATTCAACATTCAATAACATTCTTATTAGGGAGCAGTGGGAATATTCTTTTTTTCCCACCCGATAATGGGAATCCGGAAACCACACAGTGAGAATATAAACTGAAGCAATATATGCTCAAAAGACAAATTATAAATACAATATTTATACCGACTTTAGATTACTACTGTCAGACTTTGACTTTAACAAAAACACACGAAAGAAAACTGACCACCTGTGAGATGAGATGTTTGAGA